AATGTAAGTGGGAGATTTCAGAGAACATGTGTCACAGAAGAGGGAAGATTTAAAATTTTATAATATTTCCTTTTGAAACCAGGAAATCAAAACTTAGATGAAATTTAAATTTGATTTATAAACTATGATTTGGTGCCAATTTTACTGACATATACATTGACAAAAAGGTTGAATTACATTTTATATATAACTCTGTAAAAAGATTGTGACATGCGCTCTTTGACCCTGCCATACAGAAAGAGTTAAAAGTTTTAACAGGAAAACGAAAAATTCAAATATGGTAAGAAAACACTAAGTCTGAACTATTCAGTAACCTAACTGGCAATAAAAGTAGAAGCAATTCTAAAATCTTTTAATAATGTTTGAAAAAAACTGTACTGTGTCAAGTACTCAGTATACATAGAGTAACTTGCTTTGACAGGCTGATTCATTAACAATAAATCATAGAGTATATTACCAATCTTGGAAGTCCAAGCTTACAAGTTAAGAACATTGGACAGTGATCCACATTTAATGAAAAATTTGCTTTATTGACACACTTTAACCCTCAAGTTACCAATTTCTTTACATCGGGGATGATGTAAGGAGACAAAATGATAAAAAGAGGGAAGGCTGAGTGATAAGAAACATCTGAGGGGGGGTGGTGTTGGAAGGGAAATGACTCCCTCTCATGTATGGATAAATTTTTGTTTTGAGGCTACAAATCTGGTATTTTCATCTGTTTTTTATTAGCTATAAATGCTCAATAATAACTTGCTATTTATTTCTAATATTTGTTTTTTTTAGCACATTTGTGTGCATTTTGGAGTTTCTAAATTCTGTGGACCCAGAAATATAGTAAAGTTTACCATTAAACTCAAATTCCACTGTACATAGTAACCTAATTTTTAATGAACTGCTGACTTTAAGGTTAGACACTTCCTGCAACACTATTCTTTCTTTAACATCATTTGTATGATTATTTCAGAAATTAATTAATTCAGAAATTAATACAAACATTCAACTACATCTGAACAAGTTAACACTAATATTAACTCGCGTAGTGATTCTTGTGATATCGAAGTCAAAAAACTGTTGTCATATAAAAAATAAGCACTTTTATTTTTCTTCTGCTCATTTTCAGCTAATTTTTACAGCCTTAACCCTATCAAAATAGGTACCCCTTTGAATCCCTTTCTAGACAAGTCACTGAGTTACATTCAAAATTGAATAAAACGACTTTACTATCACCTTCTACATATAGCCTTGAGAGTTACAAGTGACTTGTACTTATTTGATGCACGTTTTTATAATCATTAGAAAGAGCTCATTTTACACTATAATCCAACAACAGTTATTTTGAAATTGGCACTCAGCTGCCATCATTGAGTAGATGTAACTCATTTTACACTATAATCCAACAACAGTTATTTTGAAATTGGCACTCAGCTGCCATCATCGAGTAGATGTAACTCATTTTACACTATAATCCAACAACAGTTATTTTGAAATTGGCACTCAGCTGCCATCATCCAGTAGATGTAACTTTGTCCAGAATAGCACCTACGGTTGTTTCTTACCTTAATATGTTAGAGATACAGTTAAATTGCATTTAGGTTTTACTTTTATATCTTAGTTAATTATGTATTATTTATATTTTAAAATGCATAATTCAAAGGTTTAAACATTTTAAAAATTTATCTTAAACATTGCCCCAGTTCTCAAGGCTTAAGATTTTGCTCGAATGTAAGATGATTTTGCCAATGGCTTGCATATCTCTGTCAGAGATACTGTAATAAGTCCCAAGAGTATTGTTGGCTTGTGTTGAGAATAATGAATGGTAAAGGACAGCAAAGGAAAATAAAAACATTAAACATTACGTTTATGTGAAAAGATCTGAAATTACAAGTATCACCAAAAGATCTTTTAAGATATTCTACGAAAAAATTAAAAGGCATGTAAATTTTTTCCATTTCTTCGTATTAAACATTTCCTTGCACTGTAGGTTGTTGAAAATATCTATAGCTAGTGATATTGTAGAAAAAATGAAAAATAAAATATAAACATTTACCTTTAAAAACTTTTGATATCCACATTTAGGAGGTTCTAGAGGTTATGCAAATAAAACTCAAAAACTGCGAGACGAAGAAAAATATTTCTATACTTAAAATGAAAGTCACCTTGCACTTGAACTATTCAGAGTCTGAGTGCAAGTAGCTACAATAAATAGATAAATTTTTAGTAGAAAGACTTAAAATAATGTCATTCTTCATGTGCAAGATACTCATAATATTTAACAAAATCTTACCAGTTTTTGTGAGGATACACTAAAAAAATCTCAGTTACTGAATGTATTGTTGCACAAATATACTTCCCCAGCCAAGCTCCTCCAAATTACAGGAGACCCAGTTTATAGATGTTTCTTTATGGAACTGCAGAATTTGATCTGTGTACTCATTAATTTTGTTGAGATCGAAGTACCTACAGTTGACAATAAATTTCTCAGGCCAAGACCACACAAAGTTGTTCTTGATAGTTGAGTGTTTCTATCTCTCTCTCTTTCCAGATTACTTCACTAGCTGAAGGAACCTGAGACATCTTACTATCAAAACCAATTCATAAAAGTTGATGAATTTAAAGCTAATAATCCTAAGAAGATAACAAAATTGTAGATAAAGTGTTGCTTGAATGGACAAATTTAATTTGTTGAAAGCTATAGCAATAAGAAACCAACCAAAAGAGTTCATTGTTACTACAAGTTTTGCACCTATGTGCAGATTCAAAAAAACATTATGAATTCCAACCACATAGCCTAAAGAATGCACTGAATTATAACTGTTAAATTACATCATCACACTGTTAACATCAATTCTCACCTCCCTTATAACACCTCAAAATTTTCGCCTTGGATTTACACAGATATCAAAATGATCAAATTTACTCTTAAAAGTAGATACCTTCTAATTGGTGGAAAAGTACCATCTTTGATATACACCATTCACCACAGGTGGATTCCCATATTACACCAGGATGAGTAATTCTGTTATTTGCCTATTACATATTCAGTGTACAGAAATGACCAAAAAATTAGGTGAAGTTACATATTTCCTGTAAAAATTTACAATACTTTTCTTTAAAATTTCTTTGTGTGTAACCTATGTTAATAGGGACTCTGTAATCAACAGGTAATGATTTGTATACACCTAATCAGTAATTTTATAGTAAAAAAAATACCTGTTTTGTTAATAATTCCATACAGATGGCACCACCACCAAGCACATAACCTCCAGTTATGACAGGATGGACAACTCTCACAAATGGAGGTTCAAAAGGAAAGGTTTCCTAGAATAAAAATGGTTATTAAAGATAATTATATAATAACGTCACACATCTCTTACTATTATAGTAGTTCAACAAGTTATTCAACATTTCCAATTCTTGACTAAAACACAATCTAAACAAATATTTACTTTTAGTACTTCCATATTATTATAATATGTAAAAACATAACTTTACAATTAATCAAAACACAAGTTGTAAAGAAATTCTAAAAAATTAGGCTAACTCACAATCATATTTTTATGTACCTAAACAGCAAGTCAGCCACTTTAATTTTTGTATTGTGTCATTAAAAATCATAACAAACATTAGATCATTTGACACTATTTCTACACTTATAGAATATATTTTTTTTACTTTTTAATAGGGTGCATAACCATTTCTCAACCCTCTCTGGACCAAAGGTGTCAATAATAACCCCTGATTTTCTTCTTCTCACAATGGAAATAATTAATCAAATTGAATAAGATAAACTGCAAACTTATTAAAAACTTATTATTATCTAAGTTTCTGCTTAAAAAAATCATACAATTTTAGTATTTAATTCAGATTTTACACTGTGAAATTTACAAAACTATGTTGTGAGACACTGTTCTGAAAACAAAACAGCAACTAAAGAACATCATTTGAGAATTGTAATTTATTTTATTGTTAATCAAAACATAGTCTCAACTTGATTAATATTCATTAACATATTTCTTTTGATACTGTATTTTGCCAACAGAAGTAGTCACCACTTCAAGCTACATATCCTAAAAATACAGCAAAAATTAAAAAAGATTAACTGATAATCTAGGACCACACTGTTACCTTTATCAGGTGAGGAACAATGATTTTTGTTAACAATATCTTTGGTTGAGATCAATTTGTATGTAAGAAATACAAGTTAAAAAATAAATAAATAAGATCTGTTGTTTGTGTGCATTGTTTGAATGTTACATGATAAAATATCAATTCTAAAATACAAAACTGAAATAAATTAGAATTATTATTTCTACTTAAATTTTGAGATTTGATATTTAGTATGTCCTTGGCACACAAAAGATGTGTTACCATCATGATAGAGTTAACATGTAACTCACTGATGGTCTACAAATTATTATTTAGAAATTCCAAAGCATTTTAAGATCAGCTTTTCATAACATATGTTCAATATAATCACTTTAAAACCATACCATCAGTTCAATCTTTACAAATGTACTACAACATTTTTGATTATTTTAAAAGGTTGGTGATTAAGTCAACATAGGAAGTACTTACACTGAAGAGAATATTAAGAAGAATATAGTCTTTTCCATCTTTTTCCTTTAACTGGACTAAATCATTATGTAGAGGACTATCTGGATCAACCATAAGCAATTTAACATTCCACTCATACAAACTGTCATTTACTAAATCAACAGTAAAAACACCTGTGAAGTACAAAGAATATATTATTTTAAACATTCTAACAAAAGACGTAAAAAAGAAAATTCTACCCTTTATTTTCTTTAAAATACTGTTATTCACTAACATGCAAACAGTTTAACTCGGCAACAAATAAATTTAAATGTTAGACCATAAAGCTTTTTTCTAAAGAAATTAATGTACTGACTCTGTTTTTGCAACTATCTCTATGTGATTGTTAAATATTTAAAACTACTTTCTTAGATTTCTTGAAGTTTAAATAAATGTAAGAAGTTTCATGTTAAACCATATAAAACAGAAAATACTATAATTATGATGATCTTTATGATACATAAAATTTATACTTTATCGTCTTTGAAAATACCTAAAATAAAAAATTCATAACTACTAAAATTTTAAGCTTTTGTAAGTGGTAAACTTGCAATACCTGCAGCTTTCTGTTTATACAGTCTTTTGTAAACATTATTTATCTTTTAACTTCTTCTTGTACCATTTTCTGTAAAGTTATATTTTTTAAAGCCCCCAAGTTATATTTTTTCATAAATGTCCTTTACCCTCCTTTTAAAGGTCTCAGTTTATACCATTTTCAATGTTATGTAATTTTCTAAAAGATATATGTTCATATTGTTCTTTTTTTTTAAATGTTGTTACCTTTCTTAAAGCTCTCAGAGCGATAAACATCTCGTAACTCTTTCATGAGGCGGTCTGTGGCCTGCACAGATCCTGATATGGAGCCACGCATATAGTCTTGTCTTTGGGTCTGTTGAAGCCTTTCTAAAGTAGCTGAATGCTCACTACTAAGGTTATTGTCTTTTTTCTCCTGTGAAGAGCTAAAACCAGTACAAGTATCTTACAAAATATGTTACTGTTTTTCCACTTTTATAAATGAATTAACTAAGCATAAAAATCTATACTTTGATAAAATTCATATTCCTTTCAAATAAGGTAACTGGTGTCAAACAGTTTACCTAACACCAAATATTTAAAAAATTGTAATTCTTTACCAGATATGGCACAACTTGGCTGTTATGTTTTTTCAATCTTTCAATCAATGTCACTCAAACTAAAGTATCAGTGTCAAATTTTAACATATTTTATGGATTTCATAGAAACAATTTGAACTTACATAACAATATGCACAATTTAGTTTGAAACACACGAATCAAGCTGTTTTGAGTGTTATCAACATGTTATAGTGATTTGCACTGAAACTTGAGGTTGATTTTATTTATCCAAATGAGATCAAAATATTATTATACAAGAAACAACTCTGTGTGATAAAATCATTTAAACTTCAAACATCATATATTTTTCCTTTAATATTAAGATAAAAAGTTTTAAAATTCCACTGTATTTTGACTCCTTTTGTCCCTGTAAGTCAAGTTTTTTGTCATTATTACAAATATTTTATTAATGATTAATTGCTTCACATATTGAATTTGTAGTTCATAATATGAGAAAAATTTAAATACACAGCCTTACTGAATATTATTTTTCTCCAAACCTTTTACTTATTATGCATTAAAAACCCATCAAGATATTGAGAAAATAAGAAACTTGAAAATAAATAATGTGGTACCAACAACTGTAACATAAACTAAAGACTTGTCTAAATTACGAAATTGCACTTATTCAATATATAAATAATACTCCTTTCAGTAGGCGGTGTGAAACACAATTCCAGGGTAGACCATTTATATCTCAAAGAGAAACATAAGAATTGTTTAGGCAAAAACAGAGCGAGTGATTCATAAGTTTACATGACTTTACCTGGATAAAAACTTTAATTTATGAAACTGCAGGAATGTTCCAAGTTTGTGAGATTCACATATTATCAACAACGTTAAATGTTATCAGAGGAAGAAATTTTGAAAATACATAAGAAATTGGGCATTTGAAGAAATGCAAAAAAAAAATTTTAAAGCACAATTGTTTCAAGAATATATAAAAAGAAAAACTTAAACTTAGCCCACCCTCAGATTCAGGATGTTCTTGTTGTTGAATACACTATTACTTGGAGTTGTGTTCTATATTTAACAAGAGCAATATTGAACAACTCTACATAATTACTTGTTAGCAGTTTGACAGTCACAAAATCACATTACTATTTAACTAGCTAAATATTCCAAACAGTGTTGCCAGATCTAATATATAAAATTATCATATAGAAACCTTAAAATTATTGTTTTTTTTTGTTTTTTTTTATGAAGTATTTATCTTTATACAAACTATGACAACAAACTGACCTGTACTATATCATCACAGTCCTGCACTATACTGCTTGACACTGCCCACTATCACATTTTGTTTAACTCTTTGTTCTCCAGGAAACATTATATTTATAATTATCCTTTCATCTTTGCTTTGCTGTTCAAGTCTCTTGTTTAACATTAATATAGTGTTTTATTTAAAAGTTTCAGAAATCATTTATATGTGCTCACTCTTCCTGCCTTGTTAACTGTGCTAGTCTGCCCATGTATTTAGTTTACAACAATGTACAAAGGAAGTTGGAATTGAACATCATCATAACACAAACACACAGAGACATTAGATCACATGATCAAGTATCCCAGCACTGAATGGTTGTTGGTGATGTCTTTCTCTGGTAACAACAGCTTGTTGGTTCTTCTATTAAGAATTTGTTTCTGGAACTTAACTTTAATCACTTTTGTTTCGAGATACATCTCCAATTACCGTGTATCAAAGTAACATAAGAAAAAGTGATTATGCTATACAGTTCCTTTTGTCTAAAAATTATTTTAATCAAATATAAAACAGTAATATATTAAAAACCAACCTTATATCATCTTCCATTTCTATGTGATCATCATCATAATCAATTTCTTCATCTTCATCTTCTGAATCATCTACTAATTCATCTTCAGACTGCGAAAAAAAAGTCGTAATTTTCACTGCACTAAAATCTTACATAAAGAATGCCATACATTCAATGTTTAATTTCTTGTATGAAAATTATACCATTAACAACATTAAAAATGCAATATAAACATCTTAAAACTAAGTAATTAAAATGTGTCTTAATTAATATATATTTATACATGATTATCAACTGTCCTACAATGTTAAAATATTGTGACTACATGATTTTCTTACATATAAATGTACCCCTATTCCTGTGCATACACATGCTTATGTACAAATATAATTTTATTTGCAGTTAATTTAGAACCAACTTTTCAGACATCATCAGTAAAATACACAAGTAACACCTTTAAGTAGTAACTTTTTAGATCAGAGCTTTGTAATGGACTTCGTGTCTTGTTCCTTGAGTAGAATAACATGTTTTAATAAATTTACAGTTTGCATGTGTTGTAGTTAAGTCTTTGACAGATTAGCACAATCATATAATAGATGAATGAATTACATACAGGACTTATTCAAGTAAAAGCATTTGATGAAATTATTAATAAAAATCAGACAACTCACAGTATTATTGGTGTTACAGGAAATGTGTAGCTGAAAAACTATTTTACAGTTTTTATTTAATAATAAACTATTCACATTTCATTACTTCTAGCTGCTAATGCTTAATATAGTTTTTCTACTATCAGTATATATAAAAAAATGAATCAAAGAATCCTGATGAAAATTTAAAGGTGTAGTTTAGCAACAGCTTTTATGATTTCTCCCAATATAAGCTAGAAGCACAAAGCTAGGTAGCTATCATATCCTATGGAAGTTACTGTACCAGGGTTGAACACTGAGTTTTGAATAGCAAAACAACAACAAAATTTTAGTGAGACAAATCACTATAAATGAAGATATCATTTCACATTTTCTAAACACTAATGATTTTATCCAATTTTAAATGCACGTTGAATAGTGACAGGCAGTACCTTTTATAGAGTTGTTAAACCTCACCTTGGATCAATCATGTAAACAAAGAAATATCAGACTGGTATATATGAAGTTGAACCGATTTTGATAAGTCACATTATCTGAATTAATATAGAATATGGCAGAGTATTAAATATGTTCTTAATTTTAGGTGGCCAGTTTTTAATCTGATAGTAATCTTAGAATACAGTCATAAAGTTTTGTTATCAGTATATTTTCTTTTATTAAATGAAGTCCATATATTAAATAATTTAGACAATATAAAAACAGCCTTATGAAATGTGGAGGCTGGCATTAATTTTACAAAAGTAACACTAATATTCTGTTTCAAGAGATATGCTACAAAAATACTTAATTGTTATGTCTTTCTTTTTAATAAGTTTTATCAACAAAGCAATTAATAATAATAATGTTTTATTATTATTTTTTCAACATTTCAGTGTCCTGTATACACAAAGGAATCACACTATCATAAAAGGTATAGTAAGGAAATTCTATGGCTTAATTACTAACTAGCTTTTCACAACTGAACATACTCATGGTCTGAACCAATGTAGTCAAAGTCCCATGAATGATGCATCATAAGTTTAATATTTTCAAGCAGAAAAAAAAAATACACCATAATTCAGAATATGGCTATTTTGTCTCCAATAAGATCGACTACAAAAGGTTCCTAATATTAACCTACTGAAGCAAATATTATTCTGTTATATACACTGTATTTGCGAGTTTAATTTTGTATAAACGATAAAGGCAGCTGAAGGTAAAACAGAAAGAATAAACATGTCACTCTGCATACAGACAACTCAAAACACGTGATGCACTAACCAATGTACTACTTGTGGAACTAGTTTCTGGTTAGAACTTTTTCAATTTTATTTCAACTATTTTCACTATTATCTAATTTAATGTAAGACCACAGTTCTTAAGAACAATCTGAAAGTGAAAGATATTCGTAGAAAACTAGTTAGCAAGCGCCTGCATTGACTAATTCTGCAGTACCCCACTGCTAATGGCCATCCTATATTAGAAAGTATTTTATTATTAAATGTTGCAGTTTAAATGCCAAAAGCTGGCAAAGCTTCAGAAGCCAATAGGCCTAACACTTGTGTTAATCATGGATAAATTAACTCTTTAGCTACAGGTAGGAGCATTGCACTTGGTACATAACCACGAGAGTAGTCATACTATAACTTTGGATAATGTAAACATATCTTCATGAAATTTTACAGGTTATCAGCAAATGTTACAAGTCTTTCGTGCACAAAACATCAGGTTTTTTAAGTATTAAGAATTTTCAAAGATTTGCTCATGAACATTTTTCTTTCAGAATACTGACTATCAAACATGCAAAATAATTTTGATTTGACGATTAAAAATAATTTTCTTCATCTAAAAATTGTCAAATTTCATTTGCATAATCTCTATAACCTTCTAAGTAACTATCAAGTGTTTTTATAAAAAAAACTTTATATTTTATTTGTTATTTTCTCTACCTGAACCAGGTTGGTCAATTTGACTAACCTAGTAACCACCATAAAAAATTAGGAAATGTATCTAAATTACCCTTCAATTACTGCAAATTGTAACAGGAAACCATAAACGTATATTCATAATAGCTTAAATTTCATAACAGTATACATCTATTTATATTTATTAATTTTTTGTTTTATTAACCTTAGGACTGTCTTTAACTAATAATCCAGTACATAGTTATAAATTATGCAACAT